CAAAGAGACAGACATGACTGAGCAACTAACACTACACTACACTACTATTTCACAAATAGAGTAAATAGCCACATTTGGAGTTTGAAAGTTAGTAAGCGCAAGGCTACTCTAGTCTGAGGAGAGTTCTAGCCCTGCCTTTGACCACACTGCCTCCTAAGGAAGAAGAAAAAGGATGACTCTGGACTCTGGAGGACGGGGGAGGGATCTAGGGTAATATGGTTCCAACGGAGTCACGGTCTGTTTCAGAGCCACCAAAGTCTCTGCATGGCTGCCAATTTAACATGTGTTCACATTGGTCGCTTCTAGGGTGCTTAACAATGGGCCATGCATGAAGCAAATACAGGTGCAGCAAATACAGGTGATTTGAGAAGGACATTCCTTGAAACTTCTAACAGATCACTTCCCAGTGGCAGAGCAGAGGCCCAGAGGATGCAAGCCCCCGTAATCAAGAGTATGCTTGTCCATGATCTGCCTCCAGGAAAAATAGTACAGCTGGATCCTCATCCCTGACCTTGCTTCTCTGAGTTTAACCCAGATGACTCCTCTGGGGCTCCCACAAACACTTGAAAGCCAAGTCTTTCCTTATTTGAACTCTTGCTTCCTTTGGCCGCTTCACAATGTCCAGGCGCAAGTGGAGAAGGCCGTGGGTGGGCAGTCTGAGTCAGGTGCTTCCCCATCTGCCCGCCCCTTGTGCTTGTCCATTTGCTCCAGATTGTGGTCAGCCTTCGCCAGGGCACCTGCGAGGCACTGTATGTATAGAGCCTTTGACAAATGCAGACAATGCTGTTTGCCTCCGGCTGGCTGGCTGGCTTTTGTTTTATTTATAATGCACACAGCTCCTCTTTCCTCTCCTCTTTCCTGGTCCAAATGACGTTGCCTAATCCCAGTTCCACAGAACCCACGCAGGTAAGACCGATGCCACCCATGGCTGCAGGCATTTTTCTGCCACGCAAGTTCCCCAGGAGCTGACAACTTCCGGTTGGTTGATCTGGAAACTGTCCTACAAACTAACGGCAAACATCATTTCCTCATGCCAGGCTGCCTTGCTCATACGTGGATCCAGTAACCCCAGACCACAATAAAGAGAAAGCTTCCATGAGCCATTTTTTTACCTCAGTTTATCTTTCCAGCTGTTTTCAGAAGTGCTATTTCTCTAAACTTCACTCTTGAGAAAAGAAAAACATTCAAACCTGTAAGAATTAGCAGATCAGGAGAAAAGTCCCTGTAGGTACTAAAAGCATGGATAGTGGAGTATTGGCTCAAAAGACCAGAAGAAAAGGGTAAGTCCGAGGGTGGGAAGTTCTGAAACCTCCAGGGTGTGGCAGGAAGTGTCAATGAATAAAGCAGGCCTGGGACACATTAGGGAGTGGTGGGTAATAGGGTCTACAGAGGGGCTCACGGTTGAAATGGCTGATTATGTTGACCTCACCAACAAAGAATAACATCACAGTGACCCTTGAGACAGACCAAATTGCCCAAATGACATTCTGTTTTCCCCACTGGTGCCTACCTTCTCAAGGCTACGAGACCCCCGGATTCCAGACCTCTGGCTATGTGACAGGACTCAGCTACAGGCTAAAAATTAACCGTTCCTTCAGAGAATTTTTCATTGGTGGTATATAAGAAAGACCCCATCAGGAAGGGAGGACGCTGGTTCTCCGTAAGGGCCAGTCACCCTCTCGTTTCCCTCTAATAAATTTCCCTTTTCTTGCCTGACTGTCCGGGTCACTCTCTTTTCCTCTGCACTCCATCTTACGGTGGGGACTATAGCTAAATAAATTTTTTTTAATTTAATTTTTACTTTAAATTTAATTTTTAATTAAAAAGAGACTTTTAAATTTCCCAGTAGTCACATTTAAAGAACAGTAAAAACGAACAGGTGAAAATAATTTTTTTTTTTTGTTAACCCCAGTATATCTAATATACTACGATGTCAACTAATCAAAAAGAAAGATTTCACCCAGTAAACCCCAATGGCCACTGAGCCACTGTGATGCTGCGGAAATAGCGTTGGATTTAAAGTCAACATCCAGGTCCCGCCCAGCTATGCACAGGTGAGCTGCCTGACCCTGGACATTCGCTTCCTTTCTCGGTTTCCTCACCTGCTAAGTAGGATCATGATTGTAGGTACTGTCCCTAACTGACAGGGCTATCATGAGACACTCTCATAAGTAACATGTGTAAGATAAAGTGCTTTATGAATGGGAAACCCCATTTTATTCAGTCAGGAGTTCCTGGTAGGACAAGTGGCCCAATATACACTTACTGAGGACATCTCACCCTTTATCTCAACAATCCTACTTCCAGGAATTTAACTCAAGAAAATAACCAGAGGATAAACAACAAGGTCCTACTATATAGCACAGGAAACTATATTCAATATCCTGTGATAAACCATAATGGAAAAGAATATGAAAAAGAATGTATAATCAAGCATAACTGAATCATTGTGCTATAGAGCAGAAATTACCACAACACTATAAATCAACTGTGTGTGTGCAAGTCACATCAATCGTGTCCAACTCTTTGCCAGCCTATGGACCGTAGCCCACCAGGCTCCTCTGTCCGTGGGATTCTCCAGGCAAGAATACTGGAGTGGGTAACGATTCCCTTCTCCAGGAGATCTTCCCGATCTGGGAATTTAACCTGGCTCTCTGGCATTGCAGGCAGATTCTTTACTGTCTGAGACACCTGGGAAGCCCATATAAGGAGGTAATTAAGGTTAATGAGGTCATAAGGGTGGGGGCCGGATCCAACATGACTGGTACCCTTATAAGAAGAGGAAGAGGCACCAGCGATCTCTCTCCCCCTGCCCAGGGGAAAGCCAGGTGAAGACAAAGCGAAAAGGCAGTGCCTGCAAGTCGGCAAGAGAGCCTCACCAGAAACCAACCTGCAGGTACCTTGACCTTGGATTTGGAGCCTCCAGAACTGCAAGAAGATACGTTTCTGTTGTTTACGCTCCTCCTCCCCTGCCCAGCGTGTGGTACTCAACCACGGCAGCCCGAGACAAATACAACAGGGTTGTATCATTTGACCAACTATACCAATGGCACATTATGCAATCGGTAAAGATCATGGAGTAGAAAAGTCAGGGGAAATGTTAATAACAAAATGAAAAGAAAAGGCAAGAAGAGCAGGACCACAATTGTAAAAAGAAAAAAAAATTACCTATCTCTTCACTGAAAAAAAGACTGGAAGGAAACAGACCAAAATATGAATAGCAGCTACCTCTGGGCAGCAGCTGTCTGGGTAAGCTCTGGCTGCTGCAACAAAACAACAGACATGTATTTCTCACAGTTCCAGAAGCTCAACGTCCAAGATCAAGGTGCCAGCAGACTTGGTTTCTAGTGAAGCCTCTCTTCTTGGCTTGCAGAGGGCTGCCTGTCACTGTGTCCTCACAGGTACACTCAGGGCAAGGGGGTGCAAATCACGTGTCTCTTTTCTATGTGGATACTAATCCCATAAGAAGGGCTGTACCCTCATGAACTCACCACCTAATTACTTCCCAAAGGCACCACCCCCATCACATTGGGGGTTAGGGCTCCATCACATGAATTTGAGGGAGACACAGACGTTCAGTCCATAATGGTGGCATTATGGTGATTTTTAAATTCCACTGTGTCCTTACAAGTTTTACCAGGGAACAAAACGACATTTTTTAAGAAGAATGTTATGGAGTAGACACAGTGAAACTCATGCTCCAGAACAAAATCAGCAAGCATTCTCCTCAAGCTGTGAGCTGAACCCAGCCTCACTGATGGAAAAAGAAGCAGGTGATACACACACCCGTCACTGCCCAGTGCACGAAACAGGAGACATTGGATGAAAATCCCTGTCTGGCCATTTGCACTCTGGAGACCCAGGTAAGTCCCCTAACCTGCTAGAACCTGCTGCCACCTCCACTTGATGCAGAGAAGAATAGTTACCATAGTTAAGCTGACAGAGCCCAGATGAAACACGAGGATAGATGGGGAAGTCTTTGTCCTGCCCTAAGGGACAATTCACTTTTGGCTAAGATCAAGTGCAGTCTGGGGGCTTCCCTGGGGGCTCAGTGGTAAAGAATCCACCTGCCACTGCAGGAGACGCGAGAGATGTAGGTGGGCTACACAGGATTGCAAAAAGTCCGACACAACTGAGCAACTGAACACAAGGGGCAATTAAGACAGGAGTTAAAGATTACTGCCAAGGCCACTGATCGGGGCTGCACAGGGGAACAGACAGTCTACACACTCCTGCAATGATACTCAGATGCCTGGGTACCTTGACCCATTACCTCTGCATATCACCACTAGCACCTGGCATCAGGCTCAGCACACAGTCGGAGCACAATAGATTCCTCACTGCTGGATGAGCAGATCCTTTCTGCATAATGAGGTTGGTGACAGTTATTTCTAGTCCATGGGATTCTCCAGGCCAGAATAGTAGAGTGGGTAGCCTATCCCTTCTCCAGCGGATCTTCCCAACCCAGGAATCAAACCAGGGTCCCCTGCATTGCAGGTGGATTCTTTAACAACTGAGCTATCAGGGAAGCCCTCTACTTCAATAAATAGTTCCAACCAGTGGTCATATGTAAGTCACTTTCTTAAATAGCAGTTTTCATTTCAAACGATACTGGGAGATTTATCTGTGCCTTTTGGACAGTTTATATGATGAGGGATATTTCTAGAAAGCAAACAGTGATCCCTTGATGCTTCTGCAGGTGTGCACAGAGGCTTTCTTGCCTGATAATCATAGCTTACATTTAGGAAATTCACTTCATTAGCCTACAGATTCTCTCCCTTGATCCTCACAATCATATCAAGAGAGAGATGGGCAGACATAAACAGACCCAACACTCAGGGTCCTTATTCTGTGCCAGGAACAAGCTCTACATCAATTACTGCATTCAGTCCCCAGAGGCTGGCTATGCTATTATCCCCATTTTACAGATGAGGAAAACAGAGGCTCACAAAGGGGAAGTTTGTAAGACAGCGGAGGCAAAATTCAACTCACATCACCATACTTTTAGGGCTGTCCCAGAAGAGGCCGAAGGCAGAGGGTCCCCTCTCCAGGCCACAACTGAAGACTTTGCTTGTCAGAATAGAGAAGAGAGTGGTTCTCATATTTTAAACCTAAGTATTGACTATGCCAAAGCCTTTGACTGTGTGGATCACAATAAACTGTGGAAAATTCTGAAAGAGATGGGAATACCAGACCACCTGACCCACCTCTTGAGAAACCTATATGCAGGTCAGGAAGCAACAGTTAGAACTGGACATGGACCAACAGACTGGTTCCAAATAGGAAAAGGAGTACGTCAAGGCCATATATTGTCACCCTGCTTATTTAACTTATATGCAGAGAACATCATGAGAAATGCTGGGATGGATGAATCACAGGCTGGAATCAAGATTGCCTGGAGAAATACCGATAACCTCAGATATGCAGATGATACCACCCTTATGGCAGAAAGTGAAGAGGAACTAAAAAGCCTCTTGTTGAAAGTGAAAGAGGAGAGTGNGAATGAGATGGCTAGATGGCATCACCTACTCGATGGACACGAGTTTGAGTAAGCTCCGGGAGTTGGTGATGGACAGGGAGGCCTGGTGAGCTGCAGTTCATGGGGTCGCAAAGAGTTGGACACGACTGAGTGACTGAACTGACTGACTGAAGACAGCAGTGATTAGCTTTGTTTGTTCTAAACAAACATTAAATTCAGCATGTAAGCGATTACCCACAGTGTTTACCTTTCCAGTGTTTTGAAAGACTGGATGATATCCTTTGAGTGCCCCCAGAGAAAGTACACCTAAATGGAAACAAAGAAAATAAAGATACATCAATGGGAAAGCCATCACTACATCTGCATCATGAGAAGTTATAAAACCTAAGGGAAGGATGTGGAAAGTGTTGGGCATGTCAGTGACCACTCTGTCCAAAAATGGCAAGTCATTTCCAGTGATGGTGCCATTTCTCATGGGAGACAGTGCTCCGGAGGCACTGCCGTAAGAATCGGAGGGAGGTCTCCAGGTTTAGGAGGCAATGGTACCCTGTGTGCTATGGGGCGGGCCTTGGGGAGCAGCAGCCTGCCTGCCATGATGCCTGTTCACCTGTTTCTACCATCCTTACAGGGCTTCATTCAAGAAATATTGACTGAACTGTTACTACATCTGTGGCCAGAAACCAAATTTTGAGTGCTTTAAAGGAAGAACAGAAGTGATTCAGGTTGGTCTTTTATTTCCCTCTGCAGTAAGTCCCCTATATACGAACCCTCAAGTTGCGAACTTTTAGAGCTGCAAGCATGCATTCTATCAACCTCAGTCAGTCACTCAGTCGTGTCCAACTCTGCAACCCCATGGACTGCAGCACACCAGGCTTCCCTGTCCATTGCCAACACCTGGAGCTTGCTCAAAGTCATGTCCATCGAGTCGGTGATGCCATCCAACCATCTCATCCTCTGTCATCCCCTTCTCCTCCCGCCTTCAATCTTTCCCAGCATCAGGGTCTTTTCCAAGGAGTCAAGCGTGAATGAAACCACAGCTTCCCCTCCGTCTCCTACTGCTGATGATCCTTCAGCTCTACCGTCTCCCTCCTCCAGTCAGTAACTCTTCTCACCTGTCCGCTCAATGCCAGCCCCTGCATGCCAGCTACTGTACTGTAATACTTGACTTTTCAAGATGTGTGTGCTGTGTGCTCAGTTGCTCAGTCGTGTCTGACTCTTCATGACCCTATGGACAGTAGCCCACCAGGTTCCTCTATGGAATTTTCCAGGCAAGAATACTGGAGTGGGTTGCCATTTCCTCCTCCAGGGGATCTTCCCAACCCAGGGATCAAACCTGCGTCTCTTACATCTCCGGCACTGGCAGGTGGGTTCTTTACCGCTAGCGCCACCTGGGAAGCCCCCCAAGGTACTGTGCTGTAAGATTTTAAATGCTATACTTTTGTGTTTGTTTTTTTTTAATGTATTATTTATGTAAAAAGTATTATAAACCTATTGCAGTACAGTGCTGACTTCCCTGGTGGCTCAGTTGGTAAAGAATCTGCCTGCAATGCAGGAGATTTGGGTTCGATCCCTGGGTTGGGAAGACCCCCCCGAAGGAGAGCATGGCAACCGACTCCAGTATTCTTGCCTGGGAAAGCCCATGCACAGAGGAGCCTGGCGGGCTACAGTCCATAGGGTCGCAAAGAGCTGGACATGACTGATCGACGAAAGCACAGCACTACATATCTAACTGTGATAGTTGGGTAACTAGACTAACTTTGTTGGACTTACAAAAAAAATTTGAATTACAAATGGGCTCTCAGAACAGAACTCATTCTTATGTAGGTGATTATATACATATATGTACTACATTATGTCTGCTGCCCAGGCCTCTGGCCACGCGGTCACTAGAAGCAAATCAGGATACAGGCTAAATGTGGGGAGGCTGTATTGGACCCATGTGCAAATCCCAACTCCCTTGGCCTTGGACAAGTCTGTTTTCTCATCTGTGACATGGGGGTGATAATGAAACTTACCTTGGAGGGTGCTGTGAGCATTGAAATAAGATAATCCACATCTACTTAGAACAGCACCTGCAGTAGGTATGTTTCCAGTAAAAGCTCTCTGTTGTCAACTTACTCCTCTGTCCTATGCATAATCTGAGCTCCTAAAACATTTGGGGCCTTATTATTAGATGGTAAAGAATCTGCCTGAGTGCAGGAGACCTGAGTTGGATCGCTGGGTCAAGAAGATCCCCTGAAGGGAATGGCAACCCACTCTAGTGTTCTTGCCTGGAGAATCCTATGGACAGAGGAGCCTGGCAGGCTACAGCCCATGGGGTCACAAAGAGTCAGACATGACTGAGCGACTACATACTTTAGACACAAACACACGTTGAGCACCTACTACTTGTCAGACACAGCTGGGAAGTTCATAAATTTGTCTCAGCCTCCGTTTTGCAAGTGTGTGCTATTAAAAGATAATCAGACAACATACATTCAAAAATACACCACACATACTCTCTCATCCACATCATTTCACCTAAGATTTACTATCCTGCTCTGGAAAACACTGTCAGGCATGATTCGTGAAACATCTAACAACTTAAAAAAACAGGAAAACAGAGAGCAGTGGCTCCTGGTAAAGATGGCATTCAGCCCAACAACAGGGAAGCGCTAAAGGAAATTAGTTTTTGTCTATGAATTCTAAGCTAGATGGCTACCAAGCTGATGCTTTGATAAAGACTATATAGCAGGGGTTTGCTGGTGGCTCAGCAGTGGAAAGTCTGCCTATCAATGCAGATGACCCAGGTTTGATCCCTGGTCCGGGAAGATCCCACATACCAAGGAGCAACTAAGCCCAAGCGCTGCAACTTCTGAGCTTGTGCTTTAGAGCCCAGAAACCGCAACTTCGAGCCCAAGGGCCACAACTCCAGAAGCCCGTGTGCCTAGGGCCTGTGCTCTGCAGAAAGAGAAGCCACTGCAGGGAGAAACCCAAATACTGCAACTCAAGAGTAGCCTCCGCTCTCCACAACGAGGGAGAAGCCTTGCAGCAACTAGACCCAGCACAGCCAGTAAATACATAAATATCTTAACAAGAATACTTTTAGGGAAGGATGTGGAAAGTGTTGGGCATGTCAGTGACCACTCTGTCCAAAAATGGCAAGTCATTTCCAGTGATGGTGCCATTTCTCATGGGAGACACTGCTCCGGAGGCACTGCCGTAAGAATCGGAGGGAGGTCTCCAGGTTTAGGAGGCAATGGTACCCTGTGTGCTATGGGGCGGGCCTTGGGGAGCAGCAGCCTGCCTGCCATGATGCCTGTTCACCTGTTTCTACCATCCTTACAGGGCTTCATTCAAGAAATATTGACTGAACTGTTACTACATCTGTGGCCAGAAACCAAATTTTGAGTGCTTTAAAGGAAGAACAGAAGTGATTCAGGTTGGTCTTTTATTTCCCTCTGCAGTAAGTCCCCTATATACGAACCCTCAAGTTGCGAACTTTCAGAGCTGCAAGCATGCATTCTATCAACCTCAGTCAGTCACTCAGTCGTGTCCAACTCTGCAACCCCATGGACTGCAGCACACCAGGCTTCCCTGTCCATTGCCAACACCTGGAGCTTGCTCAAAGTCATGTCCATCGAGTCGGTGATGCCATCCAACCATCTCATCCTCTGTCATCCCCTTCTCCTCCCGCCTTCAATCTTTCCCAGCATCAGGGTCTTTTCCAAGGAGTCAAGCATGAATGAAACCACAGCTTCCCCTCCGTCTCCTACTGCTGATGATCCTTCAGCTCTACCGTCTCCCTCCTCCAGTCAGTAACTCTTCTCACCTGTCCGCTCAATGCCAGCCCCTGCATGCCAGCTACTGTACTGTAATACTTGACTTTTCAAGATGTGTGTGCTGTGTGCTCAGTTGCTCAGTCGTGTCTGACTCTTCATGACCCTATGGACAGTAGCCCACCAGGTTCCTCTATGGAATTTTCCAGGCAAGAATACTGGAGTGGGTTGCCATTTCCTCCTCCAGGGGATCTTCCCAACCCAGGGATCAAACCTGCGTCTCTTACATCTCCGGCACTGGCAGGTGGGTTCTTTACCGCTAGCGCCACCTGGGAAGCCCCCCAAGGTACTGTGCTGTAAGATTTTAAATGCTATACTTTTGTGTTTGTTTTTTTTTTATGTATTATTTATGTAAAAAGTATTATAAACCTATTGCAGTACAGTGCTGACTTCCCTGGTGGCTCAGTTGGTAAAGAATCTGCCTGCAATGCAGGAGATTTGGGTTCGATCCCTGGGTTGGGAAGACCCCCCGAAGGAGAGCATGGCAACCGACTCCAGTATTCTTGCCTGGGAAAGCCCATGCACAGAGGAGCCTGGCGGGCTACAGTCCATAGGGTCGCAAAGAGCTGGACATGACTGATCGACGAAAGCACAGCACTACATATCTAACTGTGATAGTTGGGTAACTAGACTAACTTTGTTGGACTTACAAAAAAATTTGAATTACAAATGGGCTCTCAGAACAGAACTCATTCTTATGTAGGTGATTATATACATATATGTACTACATTATGTCTGCTGCCCAGGCCTCTGGCCACGCGGTCACTAGAAGCAAATCAGGATACAGGCTAAATGTGGGGAGGCTGTATTGGACCCATGTGCAAATCCCAACTCCCTTGGCCTTGGACAAGTCTGTTTTCTCATCTGTGACATGGGGGTGATAATGAAACTTACCTTGGAGGGTGCTGTGAGCATTGAAATAAGATAATCCACGTCTACTTAGAACAGCACCTGCAGTAGGTATGTTTCCAGTAAAAGCTCTCTGTTGTCAACTTACTCCTCTGTCCTATGCATAATCTGAGCTCCTAAAACATTTGGGGCCTTATTATTAGATGGTAAAGAATCTGCCTGAGTGCAGGAGACCTGAGTTGGATCGCTGGGTCAAGAAGATCCCCTGAAGGGAATGGCAACCCACTCTAGTGTTCTTGCCTGGAGAATCCTATGGACAGAGGAGCCTGGCAGGCTACAGCCCATGGGGTCACAAAGAGTCAGACATGACTGAGCGACTACATACTTTAGACACAAACACACGTTGAGCACCTACTACTTGTCAGACACAGCTGGGAAGTTCATAAATTTGTCTCAGCCTCCGTTTTGCAAGTGTGTGCTATTAAAAGATAATCAGACAACATACATTCAAAAATACACCACACATACTCTCTCATCCACATCATTTCACCTAAGATTTACTATCCTGCTCTGGAAAACACTGTCAGGCATGATTCGTGAAACATCTAACAACTTAAAAAAACAGGAAAACAGAGAGCA